TGTGTCTTCGGCTCTGTGCTTCTCAGAGTGATGTGAGCTTGCAACTGCTTCTTCCTTTTAACTGCTAGTGGGGGTGTGACTTGATTGGGTGGGGGCTTGGCTGTGTTCTGATTGGGTGGGGGTGTGTTCTCATTGGTTGGGGGTTTGGCTGTGTTCTGATTGGTTGGGGGGTTGGCCGTGTTCTGATGGCTGGAGGTGTGTTCTGTTCAGGTGGGAGCTTGGTTGCGCTCAGGTTAGTCTTAGTTGCTGGGGGATTTGAGCTGGTGAGCTGTGATCCTTCTGTTTGGCTTCGAGTTCGTGGTCGTGCCGCATCTTCATGGTGGGTGTCAGTTCGCTTCATGTATGGCTCGAAGGGGTTTGAAGTGGGTAATGATGCAGCTGCAGTGCGGCTTCTGGTCTGTGGTCGTGTCTCATCTTCTGTGTGGGTGTGAGTCTGCTTTCTACATGGAAGTGTGGTGGTGGCATCTTGTGTGGCCCTTGATGGTGTGGGTCTGGTGTTATTCTTCATGTTAGGTACTCATCTGTTCATGAGGGCAGGTTTCCAAATGGCTGGTAGGCAGGAGGTGCCATCTCGTTTATTGGGTGTCATCTCGTTTATTGGGTAAATAAAGGGAGGAATCATCTCTTCTATTCATGATGATTCCACCAGACTGTCAATTATTTGGAAGCCTGCGCTCACAAACAAAAAAATCTCCACATCACAAGCCAGGCAAACACCTGGGCACAAACAGATCCCCCCTGATACCTCCAGCTCAAACACACCCCAACTAGGCACCCAGATGAAACCTAGCTTCCTAACAAATGATAGCCATCCATTTACTTGGAGCCAAGCTGCACTAAAAGCCTCCAATTCAGGAACACAGTGTTGCCAGCCAACCAAGACAAAAAAAGCCACAAAACAGACAGAAGATATTAGAAACACCAATCAAGCAGAACACAGCAAACTCCAAGACCAATAAACACAGACCAAGACTCCCAACCAATCAGGATGAAGAAAAAACCATTCTGGCACAGCAGTAGGCTAGCCCCAAATTTAAAACTGAAACAACTATCGTGTTTCTCCAATACGGCCTCCACCAATAGGAAGCCCCAGCATGATTTATTGGCATAAAATCAAATTAAGCCCCTCCCCCCAAATTAAGGCCCATATTTAACATGCAAAATGGGGGGGAATGGCGGGGGGGGGGCTTGCCATTAAGTAGTACTTTTATTGTATGCCTGGATATGGTGCTGCCTGTGTTGATGGGGCACTTCATATCTGGAGACCTTCCACCGTTACTTTCCCTTCTCTTTTGCTGCCGCGACGTTAGAGCAACGCCGCGGCATTTGGCGCAGCCACGTGCGGCCAGTCAGGGCTCCTCCCTGCAACCGGAGCCCTGAGGAAACACTTGGCTTCAGGCGCTCCCGTCGCCGCCTTCCCTTTGCTTTCGAAGGTAAAGTGAATTATTTTAAAAACGACACCCTACTACAACAAAGCCTCCCCTGCCCAAGAGGGCAGCCCAACCCCACATGGGGAGGCAAATCTCCCAGGGCCTCTTCGCTTCCTCCCCGACCTCCCTACACTGAGCGCCTCTGATGCGCTAGTCCCTTCAGCCCAGCTAGCTGTTCCACCTCAAAGAAAGGCCAGGCGGGCGGCTGCGGAGCAGCAGCAGCGGGTCCGAGCCACTCACAGTGGAAACAGCCACCACCCTTAGCCTGATGCAGGGAGAACGACCGAGGTTAGTGCCCGCCAGCCCGTCCTTCCCGCCTTTGGAGGCACCTCCACCGAGCGCCTCTGCGGCCGCCGGGCTGAAGGGACCGACACATCAGTGGCACTCAGTGTAGGGCTGAAGGGACCGACGCATCAATGGTGCTCAGTTTAGGGAGGTCGGGGAGGAACCGAAGAGGCCCCAGGAGATTCGCCTCCCCACGTGGGGTTGGGCTGCCCTCTCATGCAGGGGAGGCTTTGTTGTAGTAGGGTGTCATTTTTAAAAAATTCACTTTACCTTCGAAAGCAAAGGGAAGGCGGTGACGGGAGTGCCTGAAGCCAAGTGTCTCCTCAGGGCTCTGGTTGCAGGGAAGAGCCCTGACCGGCCACACGTGGCTGCGCCAAACGCTGCGGCGTTCCTCTAACGCCACGGCAGCAAGGGAGAAGGGAAAGCAACGGTGGCCCGAACTCAAAAGTCTCCCAAACATCCAAGCTGTCACCG